AAGTAAATGGAGTCTGACCTCTTGAACACAGCAATATTAGTCTATGTCTTACACACAAAAATGTTATTTTTCCAAAGTTGAAAAACTTCCCTGACCTTTAATAAGTTCAATAAGTAGGCCATGTACAATGTTTCCCTAATAACTTTTGCTCTTCAAAAGATACCACTAAAAGAGGAAAAGATTAAAAAATAGCCTCGTAAAAATATTCATAATACATAGATCTAACAATGAACTTGTATATAGAATATACACAGAACTCCTATAATTGTAAAATAAGATGACATTAAGTATATGCAGTTTATTGTATGTCAATTATACTCAAAAGCTATACAAAACAATCAGACAAAAATCAATGAAAAAGAACGAAGTGTTAATGGACACGGCACAAAGGAAGATAGACAAATGGCCAAAAAGCACAGGAAAACTTATCATTTCCCTTTCAGGGAAATATAAAATTAAACCACAGGGAGATACCACTACACATCTACCAGAACGGCTACAATGAAAAAGATGGATAATTTCAAGTGTTCATGAGGATTACAGTACGTGGAACACTCATATATCATTGGCGAGGATGTAAAATGGTACAAACACTTTGGAAAAACAGATGGCAGTTTCTTATAAACACACACTTATCATAAGACCGAGCAATAAAAAGGAAAACAGATCTCCGCACAAAGACTTGTTCACAAATGTTCGTAGCAGCCTTATTCAGAACAGCCCAAACTGGAAACAGCCAGAGTGGCCAAGGGTGACCAGATCAACAAATTGTAGCACATCCAGACACTGAAATACTACAGGGCAACAGAAAGGAACACACTGATAAGATGATGGAGGAAGGGGGAGGGAGGAGGGAAAAGAAGCAGATGGAGGCGGAGAGAGGGGAATAAAAGTAAAGGAGAAATTACATCTAGACCTAGTGAAACTGCAGCACTCCAAAGGATCTTAAAAGCAGCCAGAGAGAAAAGACAATTTACAAATAACAGTTAGCCTGACAGTGGACACTGCATCCACAACAATGGAACCAAAAGAGAGTTGATTAATACAGAATCAACGATCCAGAATTGCGCGCCCAGGTAGTTTATCATTCCGGAACAAATTTAAAGGCACACAAAAACTGAGGTTACCCCCAAGAGATGCTCACTAATGGAACTTCTAAAAAATATATCTCTAAGAAGGAAAGGGAAAGTTATCCCAGAAGCCAATTTTTTCAGGTAGGTTTTACTTTCTTCTTCATGCATTTATTGTCTGATTTTTTTTAAATGAGCCTGTATATTTTTACAATACCCAACTTTAAAGGTTAGCTTAAATTGTTAAATTAGAACAAAACAGAAATGAAATCAAATACCAAATTTTCCAATTCCCAGAACAACAACTTGTCAGGGCTGATATCAAATTTCCCTTAAAAACCTTAAAGAGTAACTTGAAAGGACATGAAAATTAGGTTTACTTATTCACTCAACAAGCATTTAGAAAGGGTTTGCTATGTGCCAGGCACTAGACTAGATCCTGAATTAATATGATGAGAACAAAAAATGAAAGTCATATAATACTGGATTTATGAGTCTTCTAAGATACATTTATGAAAAGGCCAAAGTCTACACATAAAGTGGAGTTACTCTTTGGTGAGGAATATTACATAATAGAGAGTTAAAGGTAATCCAGTTTGGCCTGAGGCCCTTCTGTTTGAAAATGTATGCACAAATATGACCATTTTACACATGAAGTTAATTCAGTGTAAATGATGAATTCCCATATTAAACTGCCCATCTTGCCGTCTGATTTCCATCTCACATTAAATAAGAAAACTGCCTGAGTTCATAGGCAGCACTGAGCATGCGGAGGCACATTGTACCTGATGGTCCCTGGTTTATTTCACAAGTATCAAAGGCTTAAAGCACCCACATTTAATACGTACCAACTGTCCACTTCTGCTCAAAGTATCCACTTGGCAAAACATTTTTAACTGACTTAAACCAGGAGGAGGGCAGCCTATAAAAAGCCAGTTTCTCCACTTCAATATAAACAGTTTCTGGGGGCTTCTTGATTAAAAACAAAGGCAGCATTTGGCATAAAAGGACTGGTGAAATCAGTATTTCAAATAATTTTGAATGGAAACCGTTGGGCTCTGCTCTTCCCAGACATGTGGAAGTGCTTAAGGCAGTAACCTGGCGGAAACAGAGGGTGAGGGGCCTATGATGAAGTGAGGCCACAGCAGAAACTCTAACCATTAAAAAGCAAGGAAAAATTTTTTTTAAAAGTTGATCCACCGCTTCCCATTCAATAGTCAGGCTTGGAGAGCCCTCCTTTCAATCAAAAGTACCAAATAATATGAGAGGTGCAGCCCCAGGAACCTTTAAAAGCCCACCCTCTCCCCTCCCAGGCAATGGTAAGCAACACTTGGAATACCTGTGCACCCAAAGTAGAAAGGACTTGAGTGACTGTATTTGGGGATTATAAGAGCCCTTCTCTTGTCTGTAGCATCTTCAGTTCAAGGGGAAAGTGCATTTCACTAGGCAGGTCTCTGAAATAAGCAAGGCCAGTTACTAAAGCTTTTGCTGTCAAAGCTCTAGCCAAGTACCTACAAATCCATACAACTTTCCTCATCCTCTAGGAAAGCCATAATGCCGTCTTTCCTAAACTGTTCAGTATGCAAAAACTGGGCTCCTGTGTCTTCTCCAGCATTCTCTAACCTCCTCAAGGATGGAAAAAGGTTTTCTTTTCTGATGTCTATCACAGGCACCCTCCTTATAAATACATATCATTTTCCAAATGAATTAAACTCTTCTATGAATATTAGAGCTCAATGAATATTAGAGGATGAATCCCACTTTAAAAAAAAAAACTAACCCTTTCAATACTATATTCAATTCTTATTTTCTTAAAACCATTTCCTTGGACAGTTTCTTAAATAAAAAGCAAAACAAAAATATTCACCCAGGTTCCTCATGGTCTTAAGATAATTATGGCATAACTGCAACATACCAGAAGAAAATTATCTAGGATAGATTTTTAAATCTCCTTTTAGTAAATGTGGCCCGCAGAGCACCATTAGTATTCTATTAAGACCTAAGGAATTCAATCCCTGTATAAAATTCCAGAAAAAGACTATGTGAAAAGGGACATTATAAACCTACCTTCAGGATTCCCACAGGGGAAGAACACCTTAAATGAAAAACCACACCCCAACTCACAGGGGGCATGCTACCGAATCTGTGACCCTATGGAGCACAGCTACATCATCACCAAGTATTTCAAGTTTCTCGTCCACGTAGAAGAAAGAAGAGATTCTGGGAAGCCCTGGGCTAGCAGCTCACTATTTCCACCAACACCTCGCCCAGTAAGCCAGCCACTGGCCAATAATGTGTCTCTTCATTTTTCCCAGAAGCAGCTCTATTAGCCAGACATTCTAAAAACACAAACGTTTCATTGTGCTTGGAGTAACTCCAATATTGGTGCCTTGCTGCAGAACGATGCTGCAGGAATATAAAGTGAGCCATGTGTACGCTGAACCCACACGAAGAGCATCAGAAACTGTCAAACCCAGAAGACCAACCAACCCCCAGGAAAGGCTGAAGGTAAACCCGGGCCGGAAGGCTGTGGAATGTGGGAAGACAACCAAACGCAGGAGACTTCAGAAGGGCCTGCCTGATGGCAACAATGAGGACAATTTTTAAGGCAAATGTCCCAAAGCTCTCAGGGCCAAAAAGGCCTTTCTTCCTCCTTTCTGTCCTGTTTAGACTGAATAAGAAAAGCAAGACAATGCTGGAAGATGTTCTGGAATGGGCTTGGCCAAGTCACCACAAGCAAAGCGCAGTGAACCTAACCCACTGCTAGGCTGGGGTTTGGCTCTGCTGAAGACCCTGCCTGCTGGGTGGGGGAGATGGGGGTCCCCAAAAACCATGGCTAAGGGGGAACCGTGGAACAGGGGAGGGCGGGGCTGAGCAAGCCAAACCTGGGAAACTAACAAGAAAGACGTCAACAACAATAATAAAATGAAACAGCCAGAGGCCACCACGGTACTCCAGAAGAATCGGAGACAGGCTGAGCCGGCTAAACTATTCCACATGAAAGGCAATCTCTCCACATCTCAAGGGGCTGACCTGATACCAGGGTCCTCGTTTCTTTGTGCGCCTCACCTCCCTCGTTTCTGGGGGATCCTGCACAGACTCCAGCTGGGCTCCAACTGCCATAAACGACATCCAGACTGATTACGGGGAACTCATTTTTTTCCCCTCAAACAAAACACACACACACACACACTCAAAGGTCTAGCAGGATCACACAGCTAAAGTTTCCGGAACTTAAATCGTAAAACCACAATCAGAAGTTGTTGTTTGGAAATGCTCACCACAAAAATCTCTGTCCTTTGCTTAAAAAAAAAAAAAAAAAAAAAAGGAAGAAAAGAAAAAAAAACTTTGCTCTTCATAAAGGTTGGCGGCAAAGAGGGACAAAATCTAACTTAGGCAGAGGGCGTGTTCCTCTTTGTCACCCACCGGGGTCCACGCGCCAGCGTGGGCGAGCGGAGGGCACCCGGCAGCGTGGTGGCAGCGGCGCCAAAGGCCACCTCCCCGGTCCACGGTCGGTCGCAGGGGCCGAGATTGCAGCCGGAGGTCCGGAAGCCGCGTCCGGCGCTGTCAGCGCGCCGGGTGGGATGGGAGGAAGAGGGGGAAGGGCGCCGCGGGGCGGGGGAGGCGAGAGGGGACGCGCGCGGAGCCCGCAGCCCGAGTCCCCGGGGGTAAGAGGAGGGTGCAAGGGGCGGCGCGCAGCCCGGAGGCCCCCGAGCTCCGGCTATTGTTGCCGGGCTGCCCCGGGCCCGGAGGGCGACTCTCCCGCCTCAGTAGGGGAAGCCCGATCCCACCCGCTGCGCCCTCCTCCGGGCAGGACCCGCGGGCCACGCAGCTACCTCCACCCGCGCCCCGGTCGGTCGGCTCCGGGCGCCCGACTCGCACAAGTTGCCGCCAGTCCGCCGGGATCATTGTTCGCCGCGCGCCTCCTACCTCCACGGCGCAGGCGGCTCCGGCTCCCACTCCCGGCCTCCGGGCTCCGCAGCTCCGAGCTCCCGGCGGCCGAGGGCGCGGCGACTCCGGCTGCGCGTGCGGCGGGGACGCTCGGCTATTAATACCCGCGGGCGGCGGGGGCGGCGGCGGCGGCGCGGACACGCGAGCGGGGCTGGCGGTGGCCGGCCGAGGTCCGAGCCATCAAAGGTGGCGCGGGGCGGAGGGGAGGGCGGAGCAGGCGGGGTGGGTGGGGAGCGGGCTCAGGGTCGCCATGGCCGCCTCGACGCCGGGCCGAGCGCCACTCGCGCGGGGAGGAGCGGCGCAAAGCGGGCGGCGGCCGCGTCCCCGCCCCGCGCGCCAGCCGAGCGCCCGCAGCCCTGCGCCCGCGCCGGCCCCGCCGCCTCCAGACAGGCGAGCGGGAAGTGAAGGAAGGCGAGCCCCTCCCCGGTCCTGGGCCGGCCCCTCAGCGGGGGGAGCCCTGGCGCCGCGCAGCCCGAGCCGCGGGGACAGCAAGAGAGCCACAGCCCCCTCCAGCGTCCGCGCCCGCGACCTGCGCGCCGGCGCGCCCCGCCCCGCTCCGCCCCGCCCCGGGGGCAGGTGCGCCGAGGGGCCGCCTGCCCGAGCGCCCCTCCCAGGCCGGGCGAGCCCACCTCCGATCCGCGCCTTACTTGGTCCTACGGCTGCAGCCGGTCTCTCCGCTCGGCGCCGCGGGGCCGAGCGCAGGAAGCTCCGCGGAGTGCGCTGCGCCACCAGGGACGCGGCAGTCCAGCCTCTGTGGTTGAAAGCGAGCTAAGGCAGCGGGAGACGAGCGCACGGGCAACACCAGGAGCAGCTGGCGGAGGATCGGTGGCGCGGACTCTGCAGGCCGCTGTTGAGGTTGTGCAAGGGGGAGCCCTGCCCGGGTGCCCACCTACGACTTTACGTTGTCGCGCGGACAGCGGCGCTTCGCAGGGACCCACGAGCACCACCCCTTCCCCGGGGCCACAGGAGCTGGCTTCCGGCACCACCCTGGGCTACGAGGGACTTAATCCCGGAGGGGCAGTTGTCACCTCCCCTCCCCCCGCCGCGGCCCCGCGTCCTCCACCCACCGCGAATCCCCCGACAATCCCCACCCCTACTCGCCCCCTCCGAGGACCGGAGCAGTGCCCCGCGGGGGAAAGGAGTGAAATAGGTTAGCAGGTTTGCAGATTCCTGTTCAGAGCTCCCGGAACTCGGAGGAGGGAGCAAGATTCAGGACCCAACAGGCAGGCACCTAAGTGGGGAGAGTCCCTGTCCCCCCTCTCCAGCTGGGAGCTGCCGCTTTACCACCTCCATCCCCCTTTCCTCAGCCCCTGCTCTTGCCCTTTCTCCTCCTCGCTGTGGATGGGCCCACTGCACGTGGAGGGAAAAGGACGCGCGGCAGGAGATTAGAAACGAAAGCGACCCTCTGCTAGATGCCGAGGCTAGTGGGCACCCGCCCCTGACGGCCGCTGACCCCAGAACCCTGGTCGTTTTGCGCCTTAGAGAAGTTTTCGACCTCCAGCCTGGAAGCAGGTTTCTTGGGAGAGGCCACGACTGAACTCAAAGAGGAGCAGGACAGGGGCCCCCGTGGGACAGTGGGTCCACACGAGAACACGGTGCCTGAGAAGGACGGGGGCACCTGTGCGTAGCTAGTGTGAGTAGTTTCTGGAGCAAAGAGACATATTTTGAGTTTGAGGTGCTGAACTGTATTTTTTTTTTTAACGCCTGTATATTTGGAGAAGGTGGAAGTAAAAAGGGTCATCTGGGCCTCAAACCTGAAAAGAACAGCAGATGGCAAGTTTGTCATTGAAAAGAAGCAATAGTGGGCTGGAGGCGTGGCTCTGGACAAACCATAGATCAGAGGTTTGGGTGATAGAGTCTCTGAGTGTGCTTCTCGGCCCTGTAGCGGTAGCAGCACCCGGAAACTTTAAGAAATATAAATTCTTGGGCCCCTCCCCTGACCTACCTTATCGGGTTCTCCCACCTCAGTGGGCATCGGAATTGCCTGGCCGGCTGATTCAAAGACCTACTGAATCAGAAACTCCAGGAAAGGAAGTCTGGAGTGGGCTTGAGAATGTGCCTTTCGAACAGGTTCCCAGGGGGCTCAGGGCCCACACTTTGAGAACCACCAAATTAGAGTACTGGGTCTCAGAATCACAGAATCACATCAGACTTGAAAAAAACCCGCAACGCCCAGGCTTCACCCCAGCCAAATATATCAGGATTTCTGGGGTGGGAACCCAGGCATCGGTATTGTTAAAGTTCTGGAGGTGATTCCAGTGTGTGGCCAGGTCTGTGGCAGACCTGGGATTCTGGTAAATGCAGATCTGGTTTAGTAAGCTTGAGGCACGATATTTCTAACAAGCCCTCCAATGCTATTTTTTCTTTTTTCTTTTTTTTTTTTTGCTAGTCCGGGCACTTCACCCAGTAGCAAGCAAGGTGCTATGCCATACCTTACAGCTAAAACCGAAAAGCTTGTAGAAATCACAAAAAATTAGAAAAGTGACATTTACCCAGTCACTCTCTTTGGAAGACGTTTTCCACATGCTACAGTGTTTATTTCATCTTTTTTTTTTTTTCATCATCTTCTTTCCATGTCTGGAATAAAGTTTGTGTCGTTTCGCTCTTAGCATGTGTATGATCATAATATTGAATACATAACATCTGATGCTGGTTGTTTTTTTGATTTTGTTTTTGAGGGAAGGTGACTTTTAAAGGACACAGTCTGGGGCTTTACAGGCAGAGGGTAGTAGCCAGTGGGGAAGAAGGAAAAGAAAGAGGAGAGCAGGTTTGGGGGCTCCCGCTGGGAGAGCCAATTCCCCCAGTTCCTTCCAGCTCTCACAAACAAACATTCTGGGTTTCGTACTTAATCTCATTGAAAGCACTTTTTAAATTCCTTTACCTACAAAGCCAGGGCTACCTGGCCTGGAAAATCTGCCATCTGGAAAATCAACCCCTGAAAAACTGAAGTGTTTCCTTGTCATTTTGTGTCATTCATGCCTCGTTTTCCGATTTCTGATTATAAAAATGTATAATTACCTAGGTCCCCTTTATAACCCATGCTGTCAGGTTACTTAGAAATCTTCCTGAATTAAGTAGTTGTCCTGTTCTTAACTTTTCCTTTTATTGATTTTAGCTATTTTTTATTACAATAAATGTGTGTACATGATAAATTAAGAAATAATTAAACAGTGTAGAAGGGTATTAGGTAAAGCATAAAGCACATAAGGGACCCTTCCCCACATCCCCAATTTCACTTCTCAGAAATCATTTTCCCACCAGTCTTTAGTCTTTCAGAAACTTTCTAAGCTTAAACAAGTGTGTGTGTGTAAATCTTTTATACTAAAGTGATGACGTGTCACAGTGAAATGAAACTTCTTATTCCACAGTTACCATCCCCTCCCCCCAAACACACCACCACCACCACCACCACCATGTTTCTGGGTCGGAGAAGTCTCTCTGTTTGGGGCAGTGCTGATCTCTGGACATGAGACTATGAGCTGTCCGTTAGATGAGGACCACTACAAGCAAGAGGCCGCACAGTGACGCTCCAGCTGCCGGTCCCAGATCTTTCACCATCTCAGACCAGGAACCAGGAAGTGAGTAAAGAAGTGTTTTGGAGAGGGTTCTCCAGCCCTATCCCGTTCCTCAGCGATGCTGGCCACCCCCTGCCTTTTCAGTCCTGCCAGCTAAGGACACCATGAAGCAAAGAAGAGCCATCTCTGTTGTGCCCTTTCCAAATTCCTGATCCACAAAATCCATGATAAAATTATTTTATGCTGTTAAAGTTTGCATGGCTTTCTATGAAGCAAAAGATAACCAGGATACCCACTAACCAACTGTGCTTGAGAACACTTACTTCTTACACTTTTGTTTTTTAAATGAATAAATTTATTTATTTGGGCTGCGTTGGGTTTTCATTGCTGTGTGCGGGCTTTTCTCTAGTTGCAGTGAGCAGGGGCTACTCTTCGTTGTGGTGCGTGGGCTTCTCGTTGCGGTGGCTTCTCGTTACGGAGCACGGGCTCTAGGCGCGCAGGCTTCAGTAGTTGTGGCACGTAGGTTCAGTAGTTGTGGCTTGCGGGCTCAGTAGTTGTGGCTCGCGGGCTCTAGAGCGCAGGCTCAGTAGTTCCGTGGCATGTGGAATCTTCCCGGACCAGGGCTTGAACCCATGTCCCCTGCATTGGCAGGCGGATTATTTACCACTGTGCCACCAGGGAAGTCCTACTTACACTTTAAGCCCACACTGGTATTGGCAAACTTTTAAAATTTGTCAGTTTTATAGGTAAAATGGAAACTTACTTTAAAATTAGCCATTGATATTTCTTTATCCATCAACTTTTATATCCTTTGCTCATTTTGCCCTTGGGGTGTTTGTCTTTTTTGTTGATTCTTAATATCTTTATATTGATAGTTAAGGAAATTAGCCCTGTGCTATCATATAGTGAATATTTTTTCTGTTTTGACTTTGCTTATGGTGCTTTTTTTGCAACAAGAGGTTCTTAACTTTTGTACTGTCAGATTTATCTGTTTGCTTTTCTGTTTTCACATTTTTGCATCATGCTTGAAAAGTTTTCTCCACTCAAGGCTTTTTAAAAATCACTATATTTTCACACTTTAACAGTTTTATTTTTATATTATAAAATCAATCTATACAGTATTTATTTGGGCATAAGAAATGAGATACAGATCCAACTTTTCTTTTTTCCAAGTGGATAAACAGACACCATTGAAATAATCCATCTCTTCTACACTTGTTTGAAATGCCGATTTTGTCATATAGTAGAGTCCAGATTCTTTTCCACCGATCTGCCTATCCTTGTCCCAGTAACAAAATGTTCATAATATATGTTACCCTCTGATAGAACTTATGCTCTACAATTTCAGAGTTTTCCTGGCTAGCCTTAGTATTTGTTTTTCCAGATGAACTTTAGCATCATTTTGTCAAGTTCTAAAAATAATCATACTGCACTTTGATTAGAATTGCTTTGAAATTTTAACCTTCAACTATAACTCCTTCTAAAGTTTCTTCTTTTCTATGTACAATAATAATAATAGCTAAAACATATAGTTGTTGGAACTTAGTGAATGTTAACTCATTTAACTGACACATCAACCCTGTAAAGTAGGATGTATGTTATTATGTCTGTCTTACAGCTGAGGCTAAGTAACTTAGCCAAGTTCACATAGCTAGTAAATGGCAGAGAGGGTGATTCAAACTCAGGCAGGCAGACTCCAGAGGCAATGCTCTGAGTGGTTTTGCCGTGTTTTGCCTCTATATTCATAAACCTAAGACAGCTGGAGAAAAGCGTTAAACACATACTTCTTTTAGGATAGAAAATAGAATAGATAAAAAGT